ACGCCCTGCTATTTATTTTGAGAGAAAAAGGGAAGGATAGAATTCCAAATAAAGGTTTCTTTTCAAAAAGTGAATTGCTCGAGTCGGATTACGCTTACGTCTGTGCGAGAAATGGATCATACGCACCACAAATAATAACTCAAAAATGATATTTGAGCCTTTTCCCATAAGATGGGCGGAGCTTGATAGGGCGAGGATGTGATAGCACTATTACGGGTTCCAAGTCCATTTTTTTTCATTCAGAGAACACTTTGGACGATCGGACGAAAGCAGGTGCCCCTTTATGTGGTCTACTTTCACGCTAGGTACTATAAGGGGAGCATAGATTCGCCCGGACGTTACTTTTAATGAAACTTTCACATAGACGGTGATATGCAATACCCTTGCCACTTGTCTGCCATGTTTTTCTTGTCTTTTTCAATAAAAGTACGAAATATAGAATACAATACAGTAAGAAATTGAAACTAATGAACCAGTAATTAAAGGTGCTGTATTGCATTTGCCCGCCGGGACCGCACAGCGGTTTCCCGCTTTTTGATTCTTTTTTAAATTGGCGTTACGATTCTACATATACTAAATTGAGAAGTAGATTATATTAGAGCATCATGGAACTGAACAAAAATGAATTTTTTGAACTTTTCTAACAAACGATAAGCAAGTGCGAAAGTTATGGATGAGTGGATTATCGTTTAACGCAAAAAGAAAAAAAGAAAGAGAAAACAGTGAAGAAGCTCGAAATCCTTGACAAAATCCTCATGCATGATACTAACAGCAGTAGGTAATGATAATTGAAGCACCTACTCTCTAAGATCAAAGGCTGTAAAGTATTGTGTTCCCTTGGGAATAGAACTGAATATTGTTTTCCATAGCACTAACATTTCATGAAAGCTTGAAAGCTGGCATTAACCACTTATCCATTATGTCCAAACAAAAACAGCAGAATTACGCTTGACAAAGATAATTTCAGGAAGCGCTCACTATATACGTAAAACGCCATATCTATAACAAAAATACAAAAGCAGCGAAAATGGCTGAAGTTTTTCCTTAGCTGAAAACACTGTTTCATAGCAAGCGAATTTGAAAAAGTTCGGACGTAATCCTTACATTTACCAAAAAACTAGCTACATTACACGAAAATCTCAAAATTTTTGTTTGCAGAAAGCTTCATATATTCACACAACAGAGTCAAAATGTCACCGAGAAATTGATGTGTTTTGAGCCTCTTGTAACCTGAGAACTTTGTTTTGATGGATCTTTTGCACCTATTCTCACGCTGTAACTAGCTCAACTTTGTCGTACAGTAGTACTATAGTCACAATTTCTGCAAAACTAGGGCCGTTTTGAAGTTCTTACAACTAGAGGCAATTACGCAAGTTTGGATAGGTGGGTCTGGTGGATGGTTGGGAGGTAGTAGCTAAGATATTTGGCCAGGCGGAAACCCATACGATTTTTTAATAGCCAAAAAATCAGCTCTAAAATCCCGGTCAGGCTATACTCTTTTCGATCTGACCAATCAGCGTTCTTGGGCACTGTAGTTGATTGTTCCGCTAGGGAGAAGTATGGTTTGGACGAGATTGTTTCTCGACCACAAATAAACGATAATAGCTGTCGCTTGAGCTTTGAGTTAAGTGAGACTCTCCAATTAGTTTTTACATTAAAAAAATCTGAAAATCCGATTTACATGGACACAGCCTTCAAGCACGTAAGACTGCAAAGGTAGATAACCTTTGATTCAACAGGATTGGCGGCTGGAAGGCGGGTCTTCGTGACCTAATTAAGGCTAGAGAATGATCAGAGAGCACGCAAGAGCGAGCGAGACGCAGACTGCGTTGCGGGCGCGAGCGATCGCCTTCCAGCCGCATATGTTGTTGAATCAAAGGTTATTAAAATTCTAAGCAAAGTTAGGGTTACAAATTTGATGAGGGAAATGGGTAGTCAAGCCAAAAATGGAAGTCTGAATGTGTTTGATATTCGGTATCAAATGCAGCAGTTAATTTATATGCACCCACATCCGCCCTCAAGAGCGAACTGTGTGCGTAGATAATTTTCGAAATTCGATAGTCTCAATATTTGAAGTGGCATTTTTTCGAAGGAGCTAATGCATGAAATCATAATGAATACCGAAAAAGCGGAGCCGAAACGCTTAAAAACTCCTAACGCACATTAGGGGTATAGTATTGCAGGCAAATTGAAACGACATTTACCATTTATTCCTAACACTTAAATTAATTGCGCTGCTTCGAATTTCATTTGTCTAACGAGTCAGGCGATGCAGAAAAAACTATTTTATTCTTGATCGGGCGCTTACGGGAAATGCTGACCTTTGAAGTTCCCATAAATAAAAAACGGGGGCTCATCTCTGGTCGTGCTCAGCGGTGAGTGAAGTGGCCAATCTACACGATGGCGCACAATTTAATCATCACGCACATCAGCCAGTGCCGTGGAAGATGGCATTGTTACGCTTCTATACGATAAATGATTCAAGCTATTTGTGGAGCAGAGAAGTTTTAGGTCGCAAAGATCACGTCTTCAACACCTTTTTCCACCATTAAAAAGGGTGTGAGTTTTTCTTGCAGATCTTCTATTTAAGATAGAAGACAATGACTGGTGGACTCACTAGACGTAGGTAAAATTGAAAGAAAAATCAATAACAAAAAAGATTCTCTTTTCCTCTATTTTTACATAATGTGGTGGGCATAAGCATAATTTCATCAAACCCAAATATTCCTGTCCAGTACATATTTGTACATCAAAACATAGACTCATACAACTGACCCAAACTTCCGTTTGAAAAAGTTCCGCCGGGTCACCTGCGGAAGTTCCCGTGTGCTGCGAAAGTTTCCAAATGAGATACTGCAGAAGTTCCGAAGAATGCGAACCACAACAGCAAACGATACCTTAGCGAGATGCAAACGTTGCTCTATTGACTGTGAGACTCACTCACTATCCTCTACTCTGTGGATGACATGTTCGACGATGCAGTTGAATTGTTACGAGACAACATCATAAGAGACAACACAATTGAAGTCCTGCGGAAATACTGTACTGGCAAGTCAAAGTGCTGCGGAACCGCTGGCATTTTTGAATTTCCGCAGCATTTTGTTAAAAGCCCTGCGAAAGTTCCTTTTTTCAACGTTTCCACCTTTGTAATATTAGGGTTTCCCATAATTTTTATCTTAAACATCAGTATTTCTCGAGAACTGAAGCACCTTCAAAGTTTTCAAATACATGGTCGTACTTCTGTATTTATGGGCTATATGATCACGTATATGGGAGGAGCTCAGGACTTTTAGGGGCGGAGTTTGTCATTTTGCACTGTTTAATTTTTTTCTTTAATTCTAGCCATGGAAAAAACACGAAAATGCATAATTGAACGTTTGATGTGTCAAGCACATGCTAAGTTAAAAAAGGAATTTTTTAGACTCTATGGGGCAGAGGTACGACTTTTTACAGTAAATTTCGTTTTTGACTGCTATCATATTTCAGCTCAAACTTTACGTGGATTACGAATTGTGCAGATTGTTGATGGCCATCTTGTAGAGCTTACTTTGCCCTATCGAATGGTTACCCAAGCCACATCAGTTAGAGGAAAGATACAAAAAGACGACCGTCGAAGTAAAAACGGTAAAAAAATTATGGGACAACCTAATAGAACAAAATCCTGCGGAACCGTTGCAAATTTTGCCTGTCTTGCGCAAGTTCCGTTGAATTGTCTGAGGATAATAGAACTTTGATTTAATAAGTCTGACTAAAATCCGCTTAGAGCTCGATCACTTTGAAAACGAGTAATTTCTTTTGAGCGCTGACAGCTTCTAGAAAACCATTCGGTAAATTCTGGACAAGAGATGGTTTGTTAGGGAGTTCCCATACAATTCCGCATTCAGTTGAACAATTGCTTAAAGAATATAGAGTAAGCGTTGAAACAACGTTTTTCTTTGATAAAACATTTCCTTTTCGCAATAGCCTATCTAGATTTAGTGAATTAGATTATATAGGTAGGAGTTTCCACTCAACTATCGCTCCAAAGCAGCTTGCGATTGGTAAGCTTTTCTTATATAGATCAATCACTGCTTACTGCTGCAGCCATTACCCTCGTGAAAAAGTGATAAACAGAGAAAAACACAGCTTATAGTCTTTTTCCGGCAATCTCATAAGCACATACACGCAGTTATTTTTTTTTCTGACGCTTTGCGGAAAGTGTAGGGCCGAATGAACTTCTGCGTATATTTTGTAGCGCAGCAGCATGCACTAAGGGTGATGTGTCACTTCTACGATCGCTACCAAAAAGAGAAGATTTGAAATTTGCATTCGGAGACATTTGATGTAAGGTTTTATAAGCTATGTGATAGCTATGTTCACAAAGAAACTGTAAGCGGAAAAATCGCAATAATAAAAGGCTAAAAAACATTTGGTAGGTTAGAACTTTTGATCTACATTTACGGAAAGAGATGTGAAATAAGGCGAAAATTTAGACAGCAACAGTATCCTCAAGTGATAATGACTAGGCAGCGAATCAAAGTTTGGCTATTGGCTAGGGTTAGTGAAAATAAAGGAATTTGACCCGAAGTACCTTTCTTAATAAGATGTGAATCATTTGAAAGTCTTCGGAATGCTGATTACAACTTCCCGTAATTGGGATAATTCGGACAAACTTTAAGACAATTCTCCAGAAGTATGGTTTAAACACCATGAATTTCAAGTAAATCCAAATATGCTTTAGACTCGCAATCTTGAGTTCTTAATATGTATCTTTATAAAAGAAAGAGACAAAAGCTTCTCTTTTGCCTTAGCCTTGAACTCAATGCAACCTGAGCCCAAACAAATCCCCGTAACTTCGTGTAATGAACCATTCAGCTGTAGAAATCAAATTTGGAATGTATAAAAGGGAGGCCACTGTTTCTATTCTTGGGAGAGACCATTTTGAGTCAAATGCCTTTTCTTGCGAGCAGAAAACAACAGCATTAGGACAGCTCAGGAGGAAGGAAAATGAACAAGCATACCTACTAAGGAGAAACTTTCTTCTGGGCTGGGTTGAGCATCCCTCACTTTGCAACAACCTAAACCATTTTTGAACAAATTGTGACTACTTTATATTTCATGGATGAAAAGTTAATTTTATACATACATAAAGACTTGCGACAGCGCCTTAAACGATTTAGTTGAAAGTAGTGAATGGGATTCCACACCATGTTAATCAAACTGAGGCGGAACCCAACCTGCCTCGTGAATCTCTGACGTAGTCGAAGCTTATGCAGTAAAGTGCACAAAATCACATTCTCATCGACGTTTTCTATAAAATCACATGTGGAGAACGAGGCGGAGATTTGGCAGAGCAACAGCTGTGAAAACGTGTTATTCAACTAGCAAAATTGTTTCAGTTGATGATTGATTTTATTGCACGAATCTATCGAGGCAATGAGTTGAAGTCATAAAATCTTCGAAAGTGAAGAAGAAGTTTCGAAAAATGCTTAAGAATCAGCATGTTTTTCTAACATATTGAATGGATGAAATTTGAGATTCAGCTCTACTCGGGGTGAACGAGCACACAAAAAGCCCAATGTCCTTTATGACGAAATTTTCTTTTATCGTTTATTTTTCCGGTCACGCGGGGTCTGCCACTCTTGTTATACCCTTCTCCATCCTTCTCGGTCAAAGCTTGGTCTTCACTGATTTTGAGTTCGTTCTTCTGCTTGGTCTTTTTTCTGGCACTTCCACTGGCATGACCAATTCATGATGTGATTTTCTTTTTCTCCTCACATGTCCATACCACCGTAGACGTCTTTCTTGCATTTTCTTCATACTGATGTCACTTTCAGTCGTTCGGGGTACAGTCCAGCATCGTCACTCCCGTGCCATTTCAGCATACGAGCCTCTATCACACTGATCTTCCCCTCTTCGTCGTGTATACATGGCCAGAATTCTTTCCCATATAGCGTCGTTCATTGTATTGATGTGCGACATAGGGACTTCAGCTCTTTTCCGGTTTTCTTGGCACCCGTTTATCAGATAGAATTTCCATGATACATTTGCACTCCACGTTGGTTCACTTTACTGCTTATCTCACTGCGGAGACTGTCATCTGCGAAGATATGGCTGTTCAGACTAAAAGTGAGTACGAATGAGTACGAAGCCTTGATGGCCCGCGTGCCCTTGGAATTCTTTCGACGGTCCTGCCGCTGTTGTTTGTACGAGGCCGGTCGCGTTCTTTTAAACCATCTTCGTCCGTTGCACTTACTCTTCTAGCACTATTTGCATTCGTAGTGACCACCATATGATATCGAGTGCGGTACCTTATCGAACGCCTTCTTTAGATCGAAAAATGCTGTGTGCAAATCACATTGCTTCTCCCTGCTTCTTTCTATCATTATCCTGGTAATGTGAATGCGCCTATTGAGCTACATCCCTTCGCGATCTGCACTTATTGGAGTCAGGTCTATGATACTTTGGATTCGGTTATTAGTATTTGTATAGAGATCTCCAGCCTGTGGTTTATCAGATGTACAGTTGATACTTAAAATAGCCAACTATGCCTTTGTTCTTCCACACTGGTATCGTTGTGCTTTTGTTTCAATCGCCAGGCATCTCGTACGCTCTACTATCTGGTTAAGGAGTTGTGTCGGTCAAGTAACTCCAGCATGCTCGCATATCTTTCATAGTTCGATGGAGATGTTGTGGCCTTCGCCTTGCCGTTTTTCATGTTTGCTCCCACTAAAAACTTCTGTAATGTTCTCTACCACTTCTTGTACAGTCTCAGCTACTATGGTAGGTTTTTTCGAAGCTTGTAGATGCCATTCCTTTGAACTGCGCTCACCATCATTTTTGACTTCTCAGAATTGTGCTGTATTCATCCTTGATATTGCAGAAGTGACTCTTCCTTTATGGCTTCTGCTCTTCTTCCTACGATTCGGTACATTCCACGTTCGCCTTACCGAATTTGCAACTGCTTGTAGGTTTGTTATGTAAGCTTTCTTCACTACTCTGACTCTTTTCTTTGCTGGTGCATTTTCTTAATTTGCCTTTTGCCAAACTTTCAACGCATCTTCGCTCTTTCTCCCAATCACTTTTTGCAGATGCATCGCCACGTTTCCTTGTCGAACATTGACCTTCCTCGTGCGCTCTAGCAGACTACTTGCCATTCATTGAACGTTGTTTTTCATATGCATTCAGCAATGTTGTAATCCGTCTCACAGCTCTGGCAGGGCTCATGTCATCGGCTCTGACTAAACATGGTCCTTCAGCTTCCACCACTTGATGCGCACCGTACTTTCCGACATCGCTCTCCTCAATAAGTAGCTTCCAAGTTTCCTCCTTCGTATCGGCATTGTTAGTAGAAGTGTTAGTAACTAGGAAGAGCAGCTGGCTTTTCCGAGAGCTTTCTCAGCAGATTAAAACTGGAAACCCCGGAATGCTCGGTCTTTTATAGTTTGTTAAAACCCATAAACTAGCCGCTACTGATGACGCGCGCATTTTGACGGCAGAACAGTTGAAAATAAGACCGATCATAAGTTGTGTAGGAGGACCAACCGACCGAATTTTTTGGTTCTTGAACAAGATTGTCAATCAGCTTCTGGACAGAGTTCCGTCTCATTTAACCAATACGAATCATTTCTTGGAACGCCTTCGTAACACCACTTTGCAAACGCAATGTGTAGCAGAGTCTTTTGATGTCGTGTCTTTGTACACGAATGTTCAAAATGATGATGCTCTGCGGCAGTTTCGGAAATGTTGGACAGCTTTGGTAAAAAGATTCAGACTTTCGGCTTGAGTAAAAGATCAGTTATGCTCCTGATCAGAGAGTGTCTCTCTTGTAACATCTTTAGATGGTCAGGAGCATATTATACTCATCTAAGAGGCCTTGCAATGGGACAGAGGCTAGCTCCAATACTGGCGGTCTTCTTTATGAGCAGAATAGAAGGACCAGTGCTGTCACGTATGCCTCTTATGTACTGTCGTTACATCGATGACTGTTGCGTCATAACATCAACACAATCCGAAATGGATGAGTGTTCTCGACTATTTAATCAACAGTCACAGCACATAAATACGCGACAGCAACCGAGAAATGGTTGGCTCCCCTATCTAAACGTTCAGATCAAACTGTTCAACGGCGCTGCGAATGTAAAATGGTATCGTAAAGAGAGTTCCAAGAACATTTTGATCAATGCTCGTTCTGCACATCCGATCACTGTTAAAAGAACTGTTATTCGTAACATGCTCAAAACGGCAACGAACATATGCACAGGAGAAGAAGAACGGAAGGAATGTCAAAGAAGGGCGCTAGAGATTGCTTGATTGAATCTTACGCGTATCAAAAAGGACACAGTGGACATCCATTTCCACTCATAGCAATCAGCACCAACAGAAAACACCTCTTTGCCTGCCTTTCGTTTCTGATGAGACTAGTGCTGCAGTGCGACGATGCATTGACCGAGTGAACTTGAAAGACGATGTCATTTTAGTCGATATTCCTAGTGACAACATCAGGAAGCGGCTGGTTCGTAACAGACTATACGACAGCTACTGCAGAATCCAAGACTGGGTAGTTTGTCCATCCGGTAAAGTTGGAAACTGCGGTAAGACTGATGTTATCTATGAGATTGAGTGTATCGAGTGCAGCGCCACTTATATCGGAGAGATTGGGAGACCACTTTGGGTAAGAATGAAAGAACATCTTGCCAGCAAGAGGCGGGGAAGTCTTACCACACCGCTTGGTTAACACAGGGTTGAATTCCATTGTGGTAAAGACTTCGAAATTAGATGTACTATACTGACATACGAATATGATACTGCTAGCAGAAAAGCTCTCGAAGCATTCTGGATTTCTGCAAGAAATCCATGCATGAACAGCCAAAATGAGTGCGCGTCAATCACAAATGACTTCATGCCTTTTATGGAGTTGTGTGAGTTGAAAAAGAGTTGTCACTGATTAATGTCAATATGGTATACACTGCTCTTCTTGATGAAGTCTGCCAACGCCAAGCCGGGTACTGTGGCGAACTCCAGAATAGGTTCTGAGTCGTCGTTCCATAGCAGTGGTTCCCCTAACACTCACGAAGGCTACTTTTTCGCTGTTCTACATGCCCATTAAGTCTGCTCCCATCAATAATATCTCTTCTCGCGGTATTGCACTATTGCAGTGACAATCATTGACGGTAGAACCACGTTTATAATCGGAAAATAACAGTGATACAAAAAGTTACCTCGGAAACTAGCACGAAGCAGCAGGAACCCGATGTCGAAACCCTGTCGAGCAAAATCGTGTGCTTTTTTGAGCGATTGCTGTGTAAGAAGTGCTGTCTGATCTTTGACGTCTTAAAACACTTTACAAAATGTTTTATAGTTATAGCTCATTTTGTCACATGTGCCCCTTTCACATGCCTTCGCAAAGATCATATAATTTTGATGCTGAATGGCATGGTGTAAGGAGAGGAAAAAGTCCATCATAAATTCGTTTGAACTTTGAACAAAAGACGCAAAGAAGTACAATTCTAGAAGATAACAGTTCACCTTGGCTTTTTCCATGGGATGTCTTGAAGACTTCCTTGGATATCATCAAACCTTTTCTTTAATGAAACTGCCTAAATTGGGTAACTCTTCTATAATTTGCTGTGCCTAAATCTGCGATATTAAGCACACAAATTAGGTGCGAATTATTTGATGCTTGTCACGCTCCAGACAAAGTAGATAGACAGAGTTGTGAGCTAGTCCAAAATCTTTGAACTTTTCGGTAGAAATCTCTATACGAGCTTGCACCAAAGGATTCATGAACATAAGATCATCTTATCACTAGATAATGGATACAAAAACAAGGTTGAGTTCAGAACTGTCAATACTCTTCAATGTCACAACAAGCCCAGAAAATTCAAAGTTTATAGCTTTAGTCAATTCGCAACTGTTGTGGGACCAGGCCTCGTGGAAATCATTGAGGGAAAAAAATCGCGTCGCCATGTATAAAAGTCAAAGAAAATAGGATATATGCATTAAGTTTAGATGGGATCAGAGAGCAGGAAGTCCTGGAGGATTTTACTAAAACTATATTCTCTCACACTATCTGCAACATTAACAAAAGCTTTTCTAGGGAACGTAACTTCTTTCTTCTACAATGGTTTTATACGCAACCAGTTTTGCTAGAAAATACCAGGAGTTTTCAAATGACATCTTTATTACTCTCTAATAACCTTTACTCGCAGAAAAAAAGGAGTAAGGAAATTACCCATGATTCGAGGGTTTGAGGAAAGCCCATTGAAAATCTGAAACCTATGCCATAAAAAACGAAATAGTCAGCATCATAAGCCCGACCTCCCTTTTATTGAACAAAGCATGCGCT